GAGCAGGGGGGAGATGGCAAGCCGGTGCCAACGCTCCCTCCAATCGCCAGCCAACCAGAATGCAGGGAGTGGGTCATACAAGGAAGACGACAGTCAGAACGGCGAGCTGGATGCACGGAATGTCATTGGTAGAGGCGACGTCACATGTAGCAGGGTGTGCTGGACATCTTGATAGATTGAGGGCTCCAGGCAGCACCCCCCCAGGAGAAGTAGGGGAGACTACAGGCAGTGCTAACAGTTAGGGACATTTGGTTTCCAACAATGTGATAAAAAGCTGTTATTCTGATGTTGTGGGTCCTTCCAAGGGGAAACTCAGTTTTATAAAAAGGCCATTTATTTTGGTTACTTATGGTTAAGGTTAGGGCTGGGTAGGGGTAAAGGCTGTCATTGTTGGGATTAGGGTTTCATTCCCCACAAAGATCTGTGAATGCAATCAAAAAGGTGGGTCCTGTGATTGGCACCAGCACACATTCTTGCTGGGTTAAAGGTGGGAGCTGTTCATGGGGTCAGGTTTAGGTCGGCCAAAGGAAGATTCTGTTCAGTAAAAATGTGGTACTGATTAGCAACAGCACCACCTTCAGTCTTTGTGCTGCAGGATGAACTGTAGTCAGGTGACAGTCTGTTAGTTACATTTCTGTCAATTGACAGGCACAGTCCCCGTGGACTGACCACTTCCCCATACCAGCGGAGAGTCAGTCTGTTTGCGGAATGTGACCTTTAACCACAGACACGCCAAACTAACTTGATGGCCGACTTGCTTGCTGGTGCCGCCGGTCTCAGAAGTCTAACTGAGACAGAGAGTCGCGGTTCTGTAGGGAATGTGGAGGATATCGGGTCTGTCGGGCTTCAGGGCCATAGAGGGGAACTGAAACTGACTCCCCAAATCAGCATTTTGTATCATCTCATGTGCTGACAACTTCTTTAAAACATTTTAATATCCATCGTTGTATTTTTGAGCAAACTGGTCACCGCAGGAATTTGTCCTCACATTGAACATGGCTTTTCACACGTGAGATCTTTGTATGTAGAGTGACACAGCATTCCACTCCACAGAGCAGGGCAGAGCAGAGCAGAGCAGGCAGTCAGCCGTGAAGCAAGCCAAAGACTACCTGCACGTTAAGTAAAGAGAGTGCATACGGTTTATTAACTAAAACTTACCACCAGAGGGCGTTCAGCTTTCGAGGTAAACACTCATGTTAAACAGAGAACGATTTTGTGTATTGCGGATACAGAATGTGTGTGCACGGAGATGGAGTGTGCTGCTGAATAGCCAGTGTGTGGCTTTGTGTGTGCATTTGGCCTTCCTTTTTAAGGTTTCCTCGTGAATCCCTCCCACCTGCTGCATCCAGGTACTGGTCCTGCCCTCAGGCGTGTCCTGATGCTGTAGGGATGGGGGCGCTGTGCCATATAAACACGGTACCTTTATATGGCACTAGCTGCTGTGCTGTGGGCCTGCAATCCTCCCTTCTCTCGCTGTTTAGATCCTGCCCACCCACAGCATTGTCTGCTCCATTCACTCTCTTGCTAACCCATATGCTTTCTGAGTGTGTAACTGGACTTAGATGACATAATGCTGTGCTTTTGTCTTTCAGTCTCCAAGGACCCTGTCCCCTACACCCTCTGCAGAGGTACGAGTCTCTGATGTTTTTGTTCTCATGTTTAAACAACAAAGTCATGTCGTGTAGTATTGTGACTGGAATGCAGTTCATACTAATGCTGGTATCTCCCTGTGTTCCAGTAGTTTATATGGATGCTGGTATCACCATGTGCCCCTATAGTTTATACTACTACTAGTATCTCCCTGTTGTCCTGTCATTTATACTAATACTGGTATTTCCCCGTGTTCCTGTAGTTAATATGAATGCTGGTATCACCCTCCTTTTCTGTAGTTTATTGTGATGCTGGTATCACCTCATGTTCTTGTAGTTTATACTGATGCTGATATCTCCATATTATCTTATAGTTTATACTGATGTTGGTATCTCCCTGTATTGCAGTAGTTTATACTAATGCCAGTATTTCCCTGTGTTTCTCACAGGGCTGCTTTGACATGAGGGAGCGCATCATCCAGAGGTCCACCAGCCAGGGTTCCATTGGCTCCCCTGTGTACAGTCGCCATAGTTACACCCCCACGTTGTCACGGTCACCACAGCACTTCCACCGGCCGGGTAAGCGTTTGTTCAGGGCGGTTGTTCTGTGTCTTATTGGCTGTTTCTGCAGTCTTGATGCCACCAGATGCAGTTCACACACGCAAAATCTCCCCCTACTCCAGCTGCCCCCCACCCTACCAGCTTCCTGCTCCTCCCTTCTCGTTACCCTTAGCAACCATGCGGTGATCCCCTGTTTCCCTCTCCTCTGCTCCTTGGACACTTAATGCCTCATCCTGGTTCCCGTCTTCCTTTGCTCTGCCTCTTTGTTTCTCACTCCTATGAGGTGTTTTCACTTTGATTTTCTATTTTTTAACTACTTTCTTCCTCCCCTTCTTTCTTTTCTTCCCTCCTCTTTGACCTCTTTTGCTTCCTGCTCCTGTGATGCCTCCTCAGAGTTGTTGACTGGAATGCAGAAGCTCTGCTCGTCTTTGCGCAGTAGCTCCGTCCATAATGACTCCCGCCCCACCTCCCCATTCCGCCACCACTTTATACCCCATACCAAAGGTAAGCGCCCCCTGGTGTTCAGGACCACTCAAGATGGCAGCACTCATATATATCTAAGGGGAATCCAGCACAAACAGTCATGTGTTCACATTGTGCTGTGACATAAAAGCCAGAAGATGCCACTTATACAGCTATTCTGGTTTCCAAGGCAACAGCAGTCCCACATCTTGTCCCTGGTCTCTACACCTGGCAGCGTCCCCATCAGGCTGTGCCCCCACCTGACCGCGTCCCCATCAGGCTGTGCCCCCACCTGACCGCGTCCCCATCAGGCTGTGCCCCCACCTGATCGTGCCCCCA